TTTGAAGCTTGAATAATGAACAATAAAACTTAACTTTTTTAAAATGATATAAAAATTTTATGTTTTAGTATTTTAATTTTTTTCACTACGGAAAAACATCTGCTCCTATCCTTGCTTGATACTACAGAAATGAAAAAAAAACAGAGATCTTTGCCATACATTCATATGACAATTTAGCATTAAAAAACCAGGCACATTTATCAGGATTTATAATAGATTGATTTATATTTCAATTTTTATTTTCCAAAAGGTTTAGGTATAGTCCATAACACAAGAAATTTACAAAAATTAATAAAGAAAAATGCAAAAAAAAAAAACATTGATATAATAAAAAAATGATGTGTTGAGACTTTGGTTCGGTGTGCATTTTTAGTTTTTTGTTCAAACGTGTTTGACACACAGTAACCCTGTAAAAAAAAAGTTGATCCGTGATTTGAAATTCCATGTTTCTCCAGAAATGTATCATATTCATGGAAAAATCATGGAAAGATTATAGAGTAAAGATGGACTTTGTCACTATTACAAATTTTCAGGAATTAAAATTCAAATAACGTACTATTTTTTTATAGGTAAATGTCTTACCCACTGGATAAAATTTGTTCAACAATTGGATAATCGGATAATTGGCAATTAATAATTGAATATTAATAAAAATAAAGGCAAAATATTTCCACAAGATTTATTGATCCTTGTAGAAAATACTAGAGGTTAAACCAGTTAGCTTTTAACTGGAAAATTCGAATAAAACGAATAATATAACCGATGGTAATTATAACAGTATACGTATCATCCAAATCCAATTAAAAAAATTTTCTTTATCAGTTCTAATTTTTCCTTTGTAGTCCTTGTGGTAATGATAACAATAATAGTGGCAGCAAAAGTAATTGATATTTTTTTCCTTGGTCAATTAATAATAATAGTTGTAGTGATTGGTTTCCCTTCGTAGTAATAATAATAATAATTAAATTTTTTTTTCTACTAGAAAATAGTTTCTATTCGAATAAAAATAATTTTTTTTTTATTCATTATAAATTTGAGTATTCAAATTACATTGAATATTTTATTCAAACAAACGAATAACTTGAATAAAACGAATAACGAATAATTCGAATAAAATGAACAAAATGAATTAAGATTGAATTGTATGAATAAATAATGAATAAATGAATAATTCGAATTAATATTAGTATCACTGATAGAAACTCTGGTCATAAGCCCGCCCAAAAGAAAAAAAATAAAGATTGATGTATTTATTCCCAAATCGGATGTATATTCTAGTTGCATAAAAATTTGTAACACCAAGATTGATGGGTTAGCCGCGGCTAAACGGCAAATACTCTCCTTTGAATAATAAATGGTCTAAAAACTTTTTTTGTGCATAAACAGATAATCAGGCAGGTATTTATTTTAAATTTGACTGATTATCCGGGTGTTAACTTCTATTGGTTGTAAGACCACTAATACTAACATGCATATTAATATAGAAATAAAAAACTTTGTGTTTGGAGTACAAGTTTAGAAGTTTTGATACATCAATGAATGGATAAACTCATTATGTCAGTCCTCCCAGTCAATTGTTGAGTATCTATTTTAAACAATTATTCTTTTCAACTATTATGATTTTTTTGATAAGTCTGATTATCATGCACCAAAGTTTACATGTGTAACTGCTCTATGGCTAAATTTCTGAAAATGTAAGCTAAAGATGCACAGTATAGGATGATGATAAGAATATTATTCTCTATAAAACTCAAATCTTAATTTATCAGTAAAAAAATTTAATAAAGTTATAACAATGAAATTGATTTTCTTCGTTCCTTATTATTATTATTGTAAGTGATGTATTGGTTATACTTGTTACAAATTATGGTAATGATAGTTATTTATCATTATTATTTTTTAATAATGAAAATTTTTGTATTTTGGTAGAAAAATTAAAAGGTATCATTTAAAGATGGAACGATGGTTTTTTTTTAATAGACTGAAATTCTAAAAGACAACTTTTATTTGGTTATCTACAAACCCAAAGATGAATTACAAAAATCTTTTTTTTTAAACATGTGTATCGTGATGCATTCGGGTAATAGATTTATTTTGATAATTACTGAAATTTTTTATGAAGAAAAACAACTTTCATTTAGAATGCAAACTGTGATTACTTAAAATGTTTTTGAGCATTTCAAAGACGACGTGCAAAAAACGTTAAAAAAATTCAAAAAATAATAATGAAATTTTAATATGTATGACCTTTATTACCGATCCTGTACTGTCAGCAGCCTTTTAAAAAAAAAGCAGATAATTAATTGATTTTCTGTTTTCCATTTAAGGGTAGAGCCCGTGATGTGTATAAAAAATTTTTCACCATGAAAGATGATACAGGGTTTCTATTTGTCATGCAATTTCTCATTCAAATGATTGTTTTATTTAAAATACTTAAATATCTTTATACATGATTTACTAGTAAAATTTTCGGATGTAAGGTGCTCAATTTGCGAGCCTCTCTTTGAAATCGCCAAATTTTGCACGTGATCCTTGAGAGAATAGAATTACGTATGATGATCATTTCTAAATTTGGTCTCGTATAGTCCGTATCAAAAATATTTCTACTTTGATCCAAATTTAATATAGCTGCATGATTTCGCAAAAATGGTATATAAGCAAGCATGAAATTTGTTATATAATTCCAAATTTGTATAATTGTCATGTAACACAACTCCACACTGAATTTCATACCATAGTAATGGTAATAGTACCATTAACATACTAGCATATAGTGTATGATGCAGGTCATAAATAGCGATGTTATTTAGTGAACAAAGTCTAATTAAAACTTTTATTTGAATGTAAAACATGAGTTTTGTTCTTCTATTATTAACCCAAAAAGGTAATTTATATATGTGATTTAAATATACAATTTATATACATACAATTTTATTTTTAAACCTAACGGAAAAAGATAACCACAAATTAAAATTATAGATGTATCAATCAAATATCATTTTTTCGTGACAATGTTATTAAAAAAAAATTGCTAAATAAATTATGCTTTATTTTTTCATTTTATCAAGGTCAGGCGAATAAAATTTTCTACCCAAAGGATAACTCGGGGGTTTACCCGGACAATAAAACCCAATTTTTCCAGAATAATAAGGTTTTCTTCAAATCCAAATTATTCGTTGATTCGAACAAAACTTTATTCAAATAATCAAATCATTAAATGTAATTCGTTTTGATTCGAAATGGAAATTCTAATATGATATCATCACAAAATAATTCATTTGTTTACTACCGTATACAAAATATATCACATGCATCAACTTTGTCATAATACAACCTTATTACCTCCAAATTGTTACACGTAATATATTTTTAGTAGCCTTAATCTTTTGATTATATATAGTGAATATTCATACTGTCTATTACAAACCTCCAAACTTGGTTTTTTCCTTCAAAGAAAACGTCATTTTTAAATACTTGCATATATTGAAATTTTTCTTTTTAGGCTTTTAAACTACTCGTACTACGTGGCAAAGCATTATACATTATTCTTATTAAAGGTTCATTTTATGCAAATAATATGTGATAAACAATCCAAGGAAAATGCGTACATCGCAAAACACATAATAAAAAGTTTTCTAAAATCCCATTATGCCAAAGTTACTAATGTCGTAACGCGAATTTACCTATTGCTAACCAATTTGACTAGTAATAGTTTGTTGCAATTAATTTAATTCATGTAGTGTAAATATTTGTTATACGAAATTCGAGTCACAATTGAGGGGAGGGGGTGACGGCCCTTAATCACGTATTTTCTGACCCTTTGGAATCATATTACCGGTTGCCACATGGATTATTACAAACTTAAAAATATTAACCTGCAAGAAAGCTTCTCCGCAAAATTTTGACCAGTGCATAATAAACAATATGAAATAGGAACGAATTAGTTTGTCTTTATTCTGGACGATTGTGCACTGCTCGGAAGAAAGTATCCGAGCCTCGTTACGCAAAATTTGTGTAGCCTAAGTTCTATCATTCATAATAAAGCTCAATTAAAAAAACGAAATTCAATTAAATACGTGATTTTAAGCCGAGCGAGGTATTTTTCAGGCCTAGAATTAGGATGGATGGCATCTACCGTTTTTGGGACGAGTTGGAAGAAAGGTGAAAACCATTCTAAAGATGTACTCAAAAAATTTGAGGTTGATTTGAGGAATATTTTAACATTCCTCAAGAAATTTAATGTGAATTAATTGAATGCATGCCAAGGAGAGAGTTGGGACATGTATGTCTAATAACGAATGGTCAACAAAATCCTTTCCAACTCATTTCATTTTTTATTTCGTTAGACTCTAAACTACATGATAATATTAATATTTTTTTGCTATTACTATTACTATGTGTAATTGATAGAAAACGAGATTCGCTGATACTTTCTTTCGGGAAACGTGATTAGATTATTTGTAAAAAAGATATTGTGTATTTAAATAAACAAAAGGTATCGTTAAAAAAAAAAGGATTTCTATTCAAAATGTTAATGATGGAGAAAGTTGAATGTAGAGATCTCTCGCTCGCCATCGCAACTCCAACCCATTTAATTGAGAATTTACCATCAAGCCCTAGCATAATAATGCAAAACAATGGCCAAAAATCGTAGTAAAAAGATAGTAAGTAATAGTGGTTAGTGGATAAAATAAAAGCGCGCTTAAAATTTTTATTTTTTAATATTAATCTTAATATTAATATAGTAAGTGGTAATGGTATATGTTACCGTCATATATATCATAAATGAATAATCATAGAAAATTGTTAGTCTTAGAAAAGAAGTGAACGAACACATTAAAATCTTAATTCCTTAAGAAAAACAAATATATATATAGAGAGAGAGAGAGAAAAATAGGATAAATGGAAAACGAAAAGAATAATGATGATGATAACAAATAACTATCGCACATGAAATAAAAATAAAAAAAAAGTTTTCATAAATTTGTTACTACATTATTTCAAAATTTAGATATTTTCTGATTCATCTTTTATAATAAAAATATTTTTTCTTTTTCTCTCATCACTATTGTTATTGTTATTGTTATTGTCATCTTGAAAAGATTGTTGATGGTAATAATGTTGTTGTTGTTGTTGTTGCCGCTGCTGCTGCTCTTTCCGCTGTTCATTCTGATTTGTTGTTATCACTGAAACAAGAGTTTGTAATTGCTCTAAACTTAAATTTGAAATTTCATTTGAATTTTCTGTCAACGAACTCTAAATGTAAATTAATTGGTTAATTAATTAAAAATTATTAGTAATAACTGATGATGATTATTATAATCAAACAAACCTTATTGTTATTATTGTTATTAATAGTTTGATTTAAATTAGCAATTAAATCTTCAATTTTACTTAGCCTATTGTTAAGTAATTTCACAAATTTATTTGATTCTCTACATTTTGAACAGTTTTTTATGATCTTAATTTGGCTAGTATCATCTTCACCCCTACCCTCACCCCCACCTTCACATTTAGTCTCGTTATCATTTTTGTTGATGAATTCTTGACCTGAGATAATGTTATTATTTGAATCTAGTTTATATTCATGATCATGAATATGATTACGATTATGATTATGATTATGATTGTGATTGTGATCGTGATCGTGAGGATATTCTTGCACATAATCATCTATTTGAGTTTGACAATATACATCATGACATATTAAACTGCTGCTACCACTACCACCACCATTATTCGCGATGGTAATATCGTCGTCTCTTTTATTCTTAATCTTTGATGATCTTTTTACGACTCGACCAGATTTTGTTTTAGATTTGGCTGATTTGTATTTGATTGGTGTCGTCGACATTGATATGATTTATTTTTTACAATAATAGCGATATCAAATGATATATATAAATAAATATAAATATATGTATATTTAAAAAACTATTATTTATCGTATTTAAATCAAAAAAATTGTCACCGAGATTATTATTCATAAAACTTATTTTTTTTTATTGTCAAAAAAAAAAAAAGAAAGAAATTGAAATTTTCAAAAATTCTACTAAATGTTTATATTTTCATTCCAAAAATATCTTTTTCATTTTAATAAAAAAAAAGCAAATTTAGAAGGCTGTATGTAAAAACGGTTTTTTTATTTATTAATATTATAATAATAATAATAATAAATAATAATAATAATAATAATAATAATGATCAAAACGGAATTTCATTTCCGAGTTATTAAAACTCGATTTGCCGCTAACACTATGATTCGGAAGTATTAGTATTTTATTTAATATTAATATTAAAAGACATCTACCAAGGTCACGTGTTAGAGCAATATTATGTTTCATTTATGTATTTATGGGACTGACACATAAATAAATAATTATTGTAATTTGTTTTGTCTGCTAAATTTAGGCAGTGTAAAAAAATATGCTGGTGTAGTAGCATGGTGGAATGGTATACAGTAGTAATGTGGCAAATAGTAACAGTAGTGTGGAACTAGGGCTATTTTTAAAAGCCCGGTACACACGATCAACATAAATTCTCGGAATTTACTTTCCTACTACTACTACTACTACTACTACTACTACTACTACTACTATTATTATTATTATTATTATTATTATTATTAGCTGTTGCTTTATAATAGATTGATTGATTCAAAATTATTTCTTAAAAAAAAAATAGGAAAAATTTTTTTATTTATTTATTTTCACGAGAGTAAATAAAAAGGTAAATAAGACAATCTATAATAAAGTAATGTGAATTTCCTTATAAAGTTCTTAAAGAATAATTTACATGATTCTATTTCTGACTCTATTATTATCTCTGTTGTTGTTTTCGTCGTCGTCGTCGTTGTTCTGAGAAGTAACATAATTGTTGATGTTATAAACTAATTTTATTAAATCTTCTATGCTATAATTCCATAAATTTCTTTTATTAATTGCAATCCTATTGAAAGGCATTGTCTTCACTCGATTTTTTACATTGCTGCTGCCACTGTAACCACCGATATTGTTGTTTATTGCATTGATTGTATTAATATTTTGTCCATTTAAAAGGATTTCCGGTAGAGTTTGTTGGTTTGTTTGCTAAATTTTATAATTAAATAAAAGAAAATTTATTAATCACACACACACACACACATACAATAATTCGTTTTTTAAAATACACACAAGTTGTCGCATCTTAATATTTACCATATTATGATCTTGATCCTTGTTATCGTTGATTAATGTGTCTTGAACAGACTTCGCCAGAGAATTCACCAAGTCTTCAATTCGAGAGACTTTTGAATTTAATGATTTAACATATTTTTTCGCTTCTTTACAACGCGAACAATTCCTTTTAACAATCTTCCCTTCAGAATTCGCCATATCGATCAAACTTTGATCTATTCCCGTATTTGATAATGTCGCTATTATATTGTTGTTATTATTGTTATCATTGTTATTATTATTACTATTATAATCAGGAGATAAAAATTTTGACTTGTTTGTGGCGGTGTTGGCAAGTGGAGATGAAGGAGATGAAGGAGGAGGACAAATAATTCTGGGACTGTTGGGGAGAGGGGAAGGGGAAGGGGAAGAAGAAGGGGAAGAAGAAAATGAATGGGCCGGTGAAGGTGGCGATAAATGACACGACGAATTTGATTTGTTATTATGATTGTGATTATGATTATAATGATTGAGATTAGAGGGAAACGGATGATATTTATTTAGACTGAATTTAACCCGTTGAGTGTTGCCCTTGCCATTATGATCTGAATGTTTTTTATAATATTTATTATCGTGATCCATTTTTTTTTTTTTTTTGCAAACAATTTTTGAAATAAATGTTTTGTTGAAAAGTCAATATACGTTTGAATCCATCTCCTTGTTGTTGTATATATAATGGTAATGTAATTATGTCGGAGAGCGGATTCCGCTATTTGTTTTATAGGATTTCTTATTTAGTAATATCATTCTTATCATTATTATATTCCTTAATAGAAACTTTTCAATAAACACAGTAATACGTTGAAATATTATTAGTTTGCATTTTATGTTCCACACATAAATAAGAACATTGTATTTTTGCTAAAAAATTAATAACGTGATATGAAATACCACTATTGTAAAATTTATTCATAGCAATTCTCTTTGTAAGTTCAACTAATTATGGAAATTTATTGTTCATCCAAATTTGTCTATTACTATGAAGAAATTAACTTCCAGAACAAACCTTATTCTTCGACTATTACAACATGTGAGATACTAACATCTTCATTGTTTTACGTAATTGTTTTTCAAGCACTACATAATTTTTTTGATTATCACAAAGAAAAAAAGTCTTAAATGGCTGACTGTCTTTGCCTTTTAACTTTCTTAATTGTTCCTTATACATATAAGTCACAATGGTGTGCTAAAAATAAAACTCATTTTGTACACCCAAAAAAATAAAATAAAATAAAATAAACACTCAACCGGAAATGAAAAAAAAATATTATTAGATCTCTCTCTCTCTTCTTTCATTTCTCTTTTTTCACGCTTTCTTACGCTTTCTTCACTTTTCATTTGTTTTTTTTCCTATTCTTCCCTTCTTCTTTATTAACAATCTATATGTAATCTGTCTAAATGTTTGGTGCGTAACCGGTCATAACAATTGTCTCGCGGCGTTCATACTTCTAATAATAGATTCTTTATTTTGTTTGTCATTTCATTTTAATCGTCCATTCATTTATTAGTCAATTACCAAACTGTTATCAATTGTAACAATAATTGAAATGATTGCGTAAACACTTTACGTGTAGCTGATTCAGCTGATTCTCACATGATATGATACAAACATTTGTTAGCACGTATCCTTTTTTCTCAGGGGTAATTGGTGTATGCACATAAAATCAATCATATTTTATTTTTATTATATGATTTTACCTTCATTTCTTTCTTTGCATCTTTTCATGGAAAACGTGAAGAAATTTGATTGATTGATTGATTGATTGATTGATTGATTCTTATTATTGTTTATTGTTTGCTTGAACAAACGATACGACAAAATTATCGTTATGTGAGATATGAAAAAAGATAATCTCCTTCTTGGCTTGTTTTTTCATTTCTAAATAGAATAAATAGAACATTATATTTATTAATAAGTTTAAATTTGGAATTTTCATTCATCAAATAATAAACTGCTTGAATGTAACAATCCGTCGATTTTTTTATTTGTTATTTTTATTTATAATAAATTATGTGCAACTTTGTATTTAACATGTTAGGAAAGACGGATGTCTTTGTAACTGCGGAAAATAGATTGCATTCAAAGGCCTGTTACACGTTCGGGATTATTATTTTAATGATCTAATTTTTTTTACTTTATTAAACGATATAAATAAAATAATTGTGATGATGCATTTTTTTTTCAAAATAATTTCCTTTAATCAAAAAATAAAATGTCTTTAAATTGATGAAATTAAAAAAAATCAATACTTGATTAACTCGCCACCAAAAGAGGGAAAATAATTACTACAACTATGTGGAGGTGCAGCAGTTATTTTGGGTTGAGCCCTGTCATCATCATCATCGGTGGTAGTGGTAGTGGTAGTGGTAGTGGTAGTAATAACATAATTACTATTAAGCGTAACAATTTTTCTGTTGTTGCTGATGATGCTTTTGCTATTTCTTTCTTTTCACTTGCAGCTTCAGAATTTTCGACTAATTCTGGAATGCCATCATCATTTGCTGAATCAGTAGCACGACTGTCACCAACAATATCACCCTGTACACCTTGAGATGATAAGTTGAAATGACAAGATTCTGCCAATTTGCAAAGTGATGCAAGTGAATCTGGTCCTAGTTGATTCAAAAATTGCTGATAATTCTTTTCTTCGCCTTGGCCATTAATTAATTACAAATGTATTTGAATGAACCGGATGCTGTTCAACTAATAATTGTTTATTTTTAATTTTTAAGAGAAAGAAATTATAATAATGATAAATGTTGATGATATATTGTAATGATGATAAATATTGAATGAATAATAATGATGAATAATAAGATGATGAATAATGATGATGATGATGATGATGACGACGACGACGATGATGATGATGATGAATATTAAATATTAAATATGACAATGATTCTTTAATCTAAAATGAAGATCCATCTTCTTTAATTGCTGAATTCGTTGAATGTTAAGTTTCTTAAGTGAAGACCGTGGTTTTTTATCATCACTATTAACAGTTTATATACCTTTCTAACCTTATGTTTTGGTGTTCCTTTTATCGCCTATCAATGAACGAACAAATAATGAGTGTATGGATGTAATAATCTATGGATAAATCAATAAATAGATAACAATTGATATTTTTTTCTTATCATAAAATATGAAATGGAATCTTTTGAGCTTGAAGCTTGACAAGTTAGTTAGTATTCATATCTATATGCTAATAACGTTAATATTTTATTATATTATATATATATACAACTTGTACATTGCATGCATACATGCATACATCTATCACAATGTGATTGGTTAAAATTTTTAAAAATATAAGCTTTCTTTTTAATTTATTACCCAAATAAATCCATTAACTAAATTATATTATCTATAAGAATAGAAAGAAGCGTGGCAATTAACAATAGGCCTTTTTTTTTTCTTTATCAAAGAAAAATAATTAAAAAGGTAACAGTAAGGTAAACATCGGGAGATAGAGTACCACCAACATGGATAAATATCATCCCAGTTATTATTGGTAAAGTTGGTATGAGATCTTTTCACATGACTTGGTAAATTCTATTGTCTGTCCAACTATCAACTTGATAAATTATGGACTTTGGTTTCATAACAATCAAGGAAAAATTATAATAATCTTGTATCTGTGGTTGATACCCTCTAAAGCAATAGGTTGGTTTGTGTATTTATTATATTTATATTGATTAATATGGTAAAGTTTTGAGTAAAGGCTATTTATCGATCAACCAGTTATTATTAAAGCACGTTGTGTTTCAGAAGAAAAAAATAAAAATTTGGCGGCATTGTTCAATTAATTACATAATAGAAAATTAACATATTTATTTATTACTCATACAAAAAATATTATTATGATGTCATTTTTATATCGACTACCTCGTGGTTTAGTTCTTACTTTTCTATATTTCAGTTCACTACATCCCTTATTTGCTGTTGTTTATCGATGTGTAACTCAATATATAATCTATTTGATATAATTGTGTTCATTCACCATGAAACTCTAATTTTCTAGAATGAATTCAGTAATTCTACAATAAAGGTAATCTTCGTCACTAGATGATCTAGTATTTCTAGAATAGAAAACGTAATATATAGTTCAACAAAGGACATCTTGTGCCCACATAACTTCTTTCTTGAAAGACTTCTTCAAGAGATTAAACTTTTTTCTTTCATCTTGCATGAAAAAAAAATTTTAAATTTAAAAAATCACGTGAAATTCAATAACTCGGTCACGGGTCCACCCCGACATGACCGACTTATCAAGTTTACATATGTATCTTTTTGTAGTATGGACCCATATATATATAATCAAGGATCATAGTAGAGTTTGAATCCGGTTTGAAAACGGATAACCGGTTCTTAAAAAAAAGAGAGGGTTGAATCCGGTTTCTATTAAATATTAATATGTAATCCAAAAAAAATATTTTAATAAAAAGACGATTTCAAAATGTCTGTTAATAATGATGATGATGATGCTAATATTATTAATAGTATATAATAATACTGAAGTGATTTATGTTGAGAGTAAGTATAATTAATGAATGACCTTTTAACAATAATTCATACATGTTATGTTAATAATATTCATTCTTTGCTACAGATAATACAGCTTCATCTTCAAATATATCTAGAATAAGTAAAAAGAAAGAAAAAATTTATAGTTTTACTAATGTTTACTTTGAAAGGGCTTTTGATCCTACAACTGGTAAAGAATTGCGCATTTGTAACATTTTGGATAAAAATGGGAGGTGTTGCAAAAATCATATAAAAGTTTTGGGTATTCTTGAAAAGACATTCAGATGAAGTGCATGATATCAATGAAGTAGAAATAGTTGATGAAAGAAAAAAGGTAAGAATATATGTCATCTCATATTTAATATTTTTAATTAAATTAATATTTTGATTAATTTGATTAAATTAATATTTTTAATCTTTTAATCAAATATATTATCTTTTTTAACATTTAATCACAAAGAAAAATAACTGATTATTCACAAACAACTCATAACCATCTTCCATATATTCAGAAAAAAAAGAAGAGGCACTGCTTAAATGGATTTTGAAAACCAACCAGCCTTTGTCTATTGTTACTAATGAAGCATATATAGAAAAGATGAAAGTTTTTGATCCAGCATTTTCTGTATCATGTGCAAAAAAATTAAGAACTATGATTAAAAAAAGTTGCAGTTTTAACAAAGAAGCATTACGTGAAATTTTTCAACAAAAAATGATTAACTACAGACTTCTGGACCAGTAGAGCCAATAAGCGAAATATGAAATTCATGAATGTTTTTGCACCAAGTTGGGATTCTAATGAAGATATAGAATCAGAATATTTCATTGTAATTACTATTATTTTTTTAACAATAAATAATAATAATAATAATAATAATAGCTAATCTGGTTTGCCTGCTTAGAATCTGAATTCGAACCTGTTTGACAAAAATAAATCAGATCCAAACAAACTCTAGATAGTAATAGGGCTTCTATTCGAATAAAACAATTAATTCGAATAAGAAAAAATTATTTCTAATTCGAATAAAATCGATTCGAATAAGAAAAATGATTCGAATAAAAAAATTAATTCGAATAAAATCGAATAAGAAAATTAATTCGAATAAGGAAATTAACTCAAATAAGGAAATTAATTTGAATAAAGCAAAATAATTCGAAAAAATTAATTCGGATAAAACAAATAATTAAAGTCCAAGCTCACTGGAAAGATTGCTATTTATTAAAAGAAACATGAATCTTGTTTCAGTCTTTCCTTATTAGTTTCATTTTTAATTTCAATTTTTATAATAATAAAATCAATATTAAACCTTGTTGTATATATAGTTTGAATATTTAAGTAATTGAACAACCCATGATTCCAAATAATCTAATAAAATGAATGAACAGACCCAATATTCCAATAATGAATAAACAAATAATTTGAATAAAACAAATAATTTGAATAAAGTGAATTAAATTTTTAATTCGAATATACTTTTAAATTCGAATAAACTTTTTGATATTAATTCAAATTAAATTTTTAATTCGAATAAACTTTTTTAATTCGAATAAATTTTTATTCAAATAATTATTCAAATTAAAGGTCAACTGTATTACGAATAATTCGAATAAGAATTTGTATTACGAATAGAAGCCCCAACTCTAGATCATAGTACTTCTGAAATTGGTTCATTTCTAAAAAGTAATAAAATTTTTGACTTTTTCACCACATGTCTTCCTGTTGTTAAAGTAAGTTGAAAAAAGATTACTTCTGGTGACCTACAATATCCAACACCTGTACGGCAGAGTTAGTTTGCTTTACTGTCTAGTTAATTCCTGCGGTTGTTGTTTAGAGCAAGTTGTAGGCTATCCTATTTGATGCATTGTTCATCTGTGCGCTTTCTCATTGTAGTTCACACCTGCGTTCTTTCCTCTAGCATATTGGATGTATTGCTTCCTAACCTGCAGAACGAAGCATAGCAATTATGTTATGTACCTCTCTGTGGTGGATGCTTGGTAGGGATTTTGGGAGCTACCCTCTTTGACACATTATTTGTCCACTGAGGCAAACCTTCTCATTGTAGCTTACACCTTCCGCTCTCTAACCAGAAAGCATCGCATCAAGCCAATATTTTTGTTTTATTCTTGCATGACTTTGACTTTTGTGTTTTTCTTTTGTGGAGCTAATAATAATTTCATTATTTGACTTTTTATAAGGATGGATTTTGAAAATCAAATTGTAAATTACTTTCAGTTGAATGATTATACTAAATGGAGTGTATTTGAAGTCCTGCACTACATATCAAATGAGTGATATTGATGACTCCTTAAAAAGACAATTAGAAATTTTATCTGATCACAAAAGTCTTCTCCTGGCAGCAAGAAACAAGACCATCAAGCTTCTTGAAAATCTGCAGGAAACCCTGACAAAATGAAGAGAGATTTTGAATTTCATTGAAAGTAAAGATCTAAAATTTGCTAAGGTTTGTAACACTGATCTATTGTGTGTATTTTATGATTAAGGATTAATTTTTAATATATTATCATAGAATTGATATAAAGTAAACGTTGAATTAAGTATCATTACAGATAAAACAGTTATGGCAGGAAAAATTTGCAAGAGTAGGTATTTGCTAATTATTTATTAAATTCTTGGAACATAAACCAATCGGATAATTTCATTGAGATCTCTTGATATACTCTAGTCTTCGAATAACAATCATGATATCAGTGGTTCTGAAAATCAAGATTCTAGAACAGAAACACAGAATACAATTAATAATGAACAGGAAGATGAATATGTAGCTGCTGATGAAAGTAGGGTTAGTAAAATTTGTTTCTGGTAATATTTTCTGTTGGTATTTTGGGAAAAATAATGATTTTTTATTTTCTATAGACAATGTGTGTCAAGGATATCCTTGAAGGCTCAATTCAAGTTTCATCTGTTGTAAATGAAGGCACAGAGATCTTTTTAAATAAATTCCCTGCAACCTTTATAATAGATTTACATCCAAATTCAAAATTTTTGATACTCTTGGATTCAGACCTTCAAAAAAAGCCTTGCATGAAATTTTCAATGAAATTGATAGCTATATTACAGATGATATCCACAAATTTCTCACAGTGTTTTTCAACAAAGATCTTACTGCATGAGGTTGGGATAATGTCATAAATAATATGGATTTTAATGCACATGAATCGGAACTTCTAAAAAATAAATTCAAGAAATGTTACCAAAATTGTAAGCATCAGGAAATTAATTTAGTGTAAACTTGCATAAATCTTACGATGCCGACGTAATATTGTGTAAATCTTACAGTGCCAACGTAAGTTTTACACTTTTTTATTATTAAACTTACAATTGACACGTGTAAAATTTTTTTATATTTTCCGGATGAGGATTAGATAGAATTTATGCAATTGATTTTATTAATATTTGTACAATTTTAATGATTTTTCATTATTTTAGTTTAAAAGCATTTTTGCTGGAGTTTTTAAATCAGGGTTGGTAAATTTACTGGTCCATTGAGAGCTGATAGACTTTGGACTGGTCCATTGCCATCAATAAAATACTAAATATGGTTACTAATGGACCCAATTGATCACCAATAGACCACCAATGGACCTCAAATTTGCCAACCCCGGTTTAAATCCATTGAGGGATATTACACTCCTCAAAAAACCACATCTTAATCAATTCATACACCCTATAATTGATTTGACACTATGGATTTTTTCCAAAGTTAATTACATATAGTAAGTAACTTGAACCTATATTTTCTACATAGATTATATATAGTACAAATAAAATATTCATATTATATAGTGGAGAAATACCTCTGGGCTCAAAACATGGACTGATGGAGTAGGATTTCTAAACAATGTCATGAACTACCTGATAGTTTGTAATGAGGGAGCTAGACTGGGTGCACCACAAAAAAAATGCATTGATGATGACATCAAAATGCAGGCAGCATGGCTGCATTATCGTCATAGAAGAAGCTGATGCATGCTGACAACTCTTTACCAACTTACAAGTATATGGTTTAACAGCATTTAAGACCAAATTATCACTTACCATGATGGATTTTAGAAGTATACAATGCATTACGATCAGACCTCCATAAATGCACCCTCCTTGGGACCAAGGGACAGCATGCATTTATGGAGGTCTGACTGTACATAAATTTATATTAAAATATTTATATAATCTGAAAGTTAATAAATTCAATTTTAGGTGTTCATTGGTTATCTGAGGTTGATCATTTCGACCTATCAAAAGATTGTATTGACATGCCAAACTTTGTTTGGTTATATGAAGGCAGTAGTCAAATAGGTTGCAAAACATATAATAATAATAAAATTCAGATGATCTGCATCATAATCAAAATTTATAATTGAATGCCTCCACAGCAATATACAGTATTCAAATGAAAAAACTATTGAGGAGGCTTGTGTGGCTCCATTGTTACATAAGGAACAGCTTTAAATCATCATCTACTTTTCTTTTTAGCATATAAAAGTCTAATGAAATTGAAAATGATGGTTAGTGCATGCACATTTGATTTGACAGAAAAATTCAGCCATTAATTTTTGGCATCATAAGGACACAAGCAATTATCATACAATATTCTGCATGTTAAATGTTGTATGAAATGTTTTGTTATTTGGTTGACTTTTGCTAAATAAATTTTCATATAACATTCAATGAGCTTATTTTATAGCTGCTGAACCTTGGCTGAAATTATTTTTTTTTAATTTTATCTGCTTCAATGTAGTTAACATAGTCGAAAATTTGATATAATGAGAAATCACAATTTCCTACACCAACATTCTTACTAACTTTGGTTATTCTCCATCTTCTCACAAGATAAAACCTAAATCATTCATTAGATGATACTTTATGTTCTAATTAACAAAGTTATTGAATAGTTGAAACCAATTTAGATTTATCAATTCCAAATTTTGCTTTGTAATCTTTATTAAAGAAGTATTGGTAATAAAATGTGGGGTGATATCACGATAATCTATTACTATGTATAGTAGTAATAGTAAGTGAAGCCTTTGAACTAGAGATTTTTTTTTTGCTTTTTAATTCTAGATTTAATCGGATTATAGGGCTTGTAAAACTACTTTCTGCTTGATTGTGTGTTTTGAATTTTATCTAAATACTTGTATTCGTTTGTTCAAAGAAATTCGTACGACGATCTGATCAAAAAAATTTTAAAAAATTAAAAAATTTTTTTTGATAAAAATTATGTTTCGTGCTTGTTGTAAAATACCATCAAACAATAAAATATTGTCTTTTCCTATTACCAGCCTGTTGATAAATCGTAAATATGCTGCTAGTGCTGCAATTTCTCCAATTACAGTCACAAAGTCAAAAACTGGAATAACAACTGTTTCAATTAAAGGTGAGGAGAAGGCTTATCTATATATGCTTTATTGATACACATATTGATAATTTTTTGTTTGGTATGTACATATTACAATCCTAAGCTATATGATTTTAATTATATATATATTGCACATGTATTTCCAATAAAGATAGCACACCAGCTTCTTCTGTTTCCTTAGTTGTAAAGGCTGGTCCTCGTTATGAAACCATTAATAAAATTGGAGCAGCGCATTATTTAAAAAATTTTGCTTTTAAGGTTAGGATTTTAATTTAAAAATAGATAACGTGAATATAAATTTATATGATTTTAATTTCTTTAAAATGATAGAACACCACAAATAAAACTGCTTTTCGTATAACACGTGAAACAGAATTGCTTGGTGGTGTATTAGCAGCCAGTTTAACAAGAGAAAATTTAATTCTTACTGCAGAATTTTTGCCAGATAATCTGTATGTAAATCTTTTTTCATATGAAATTGTAAGATCTTTATTTATTTTATTCATTTATCATTTGGAAGAAAAATTTATCAATGATAACAATCAATTAGTAATAATAATGATTAATTTTTTTTCACTATCTCCTTTTGATACTTATAGTGAATATTTTTTGGGTGTATTATCTGATGTAATTTTCAACACAAAGTATGAACCACACGAATTTAAAGAAGTGAAACAAAGTGTTGCATTTGAGAGAAGTATTGCAGAAGCAACTCCGGAAGTTTTAGCTTTAGAAGCAGCGCATGAAGCTGCATTTCGTGATGGACTTGGAAATCTACTTTTTGCAAATTCCACTACAAAAATCAAGAGTAATGAAGATGTTATAGCATATGCTAATAAAGTTTACACAGCTCCAAATATCACTATTATTGGTACTGGTGTTGATCATGACAAGTTGACAGCTTTAACAGAAAATCTATTTAAAGATATAAGTCATGCAGTGCCAGCTACACCAATCGCTTCCAAATATTTTGGTGGTGAGGTTAGATTGGCTAGTGGAAATGATATAAATCATTATATACTTGCATTTGAGGGTGCACCAGCAGGAACACCTGATTTTTATACTCTTCAGATTCTTAGATCGTTATTAGATGGAGATAAACACACAAAGTGGGGTGATGGCGTTACTAAACTTTCTCAAACAGCAAATAAACTTGATACTAAAACCAGCACTTTCAACACAGGGTATTCAGATGCAGGTATTTTTGGTGTATACTACTCAGCAGCTAAACCAACATCAATATATTCAGCTGCTCGTGCTACTGTTGAACAGTTACAACATGTTGCAAAAGGTGTTGATAAAGATGAATTCCAAAGAGCCTTTGCAAAAGCAAAATATAGCACTGCAATTTCTTATGATACACGTTATTCTAAAACTGTGATCTTGGGCAGTCAGGTATTATAACTATTTACTTATAATTAATTAATTATTCAATTAATTGATTATTTAATTATTATTTTTTTAGGTTTTATCTTCTGCAAAAATTGTTTCTGCTTCTGAAGCAGTATCAGAATATGATCATATCAAAGAAACAGATGTTACAGAAGTAATTATTAAAAAAATATATCATATTTTGATAATTAAATAATAATGATAATAATAATTTTTTTCCTATTGGAACATGTATATAATTATAGATTGCCAATAGAATTTTGTCAAGTAAACCTACTGCTGTGGCACTTGGAGACATAGCTACCTTACCATATGCTGATGCTCTATCTCTTTAATTAAAATTCTGTTATTAAGATGTGAATTCAAATTCATATTTAAATTAAATAAAGACGAATAGAAATAATTATTATTCAATATTAAATTTTTATTTAAAGTTGTCACTACATTCCTTGGGTTATATGAGATCATGTATTACTAAACTGATATCAGTTCCATCCCACACTTTTTAAAGATGATGGTTAACATTATTATTTTTTTGTTTTGTATAACAAATTCCAACTAATTTCATCTGCATTATAGGGGAGATTATCTTTGTAGAGGACAAATAGGAGATTATGATGTTCGCAATTAAATTGAATTTAAAGATTACAATCTAAACCAGGGACAATAATGAATTTATTGGCTAATTGCGACATCCTTAACATAAATAGACTAATTCATCGACAGCCAAGATGATTCTTACTCTTAATAGTAAGATCGTTAACCTTTATTATTACCAAAAAAAAAATGTAACCTATCTATGTAACATGATAATCAAAAGTTTTTTTTTATGCGACCAGGATTCTAGTAATTTTTGTGACCATTTTGTTGATTGAATATGAAAATTGACAGTCGATGACCATCTTAATAGTAAAACACATAAAGCTAATAAACATCAACATCAACATCAACGTCAACTTCAATAAACGCTTTACCTCTCTTTTTTCTTCTGAGTCTAAAAAGCTATAATTCGTGATTTAATTGAAGCCTTTGCTATAGCATTTTTGAAGTGCCCATGAAAAGTTTGCAAGCACATATCCTTCTTGTCCTGGATGTCCTCTTTTTCATGCCTGTCAAATTTTTGATCCAAATTTTATTTGCTTAATGATATAATTTCAAGAATTAAATGACTCATCTAATGTTTTATTAAATGAATGGGCAATTTATTGTGGATCCACGTTTGATATAAATTTTGGAAATTAGCTTAGATGAATACTGGTTAAATATGGCCAGAAATTTACCCAATCTGTCTCAAATAGCATTGGACCATATATGGTTACCAATTTCTTCTTGTAGTGTAGAACGAAATTTTTCTAAATGTAATTTTTAGGCAAACTTTACCTGAAGAGTCTTTACACTATTTAAATATGTTTTATTATTAATGGCAGTTTAAATGTTTTACAAATAATTAAAATTATAATGCAGAATTACTGCAGAATGCATTGATATTATAACGAATTGCGCAGAATATAGTGTTTTTTAATATTAATATTAATGCACTTTTAGCAATCCACTTCATCGCCGCAGAAAATCATCATCCCTGATTCTAAACATTTGTAAATCAATAAATGTAAAATTATTAATAAATAAAATAACTTTAAATCACTTTCTTTTCTTTCATGTTGCCTATCATTTAATTAAAAAAAAAACAAGTCAAATAAAAGCATTAGAAAATTTCTATGATGCACACAAATTGTGCATTTTATGGTCTAAACTAAGCATAGCATTTATTCTAAGCTTAACCTAGAAAACACTAGATTATTATAACTCATTTTCCTTTGACAGTCTTGTCTGTTCAGAGATCATGGTAGATGGATCAAATTGAAATAGTTGAATATTTCAAGTAACATGAGTTTTGGATATTAAATGACATGATTAAAAAATCAAGAGAATTGGTGCAAGTCACAAAGACACAAATTTAGTGTGTAGTCATGTGAAAATCTTTTGGTAATAAAGGTGATAACAATACATCTACAAATAAAAATTACAAGTTCAATAATTAATCAATTATCATTTGCTATTAAACAATAAATGAAATATTATATTTAATGCTTCTGTCAAAATTGATAAATGCTACCCAAGAATAATAAATATTTTCCTGATCTTCTCTTTTTTCCTATTAAAATGCCAAGTAAAATAAATGAAACTCTTATCTTTTGGTTTTTTCTTTGTATAAATTATATTAAAGGATATACATGCTTATTATCTATTTACCATACACAACTAATTATATATATATAATTGATAGTGATATTCTGTATCTTTAAATTGAATGTTAAGTCTAATATCACTTCACTTAGCAAATTATCAATTAAACAATAAAAACGATTGTTTTGTATTTATTATATATTGTTACCCGATCTTATTTATTTACCATTATTTTGATTTTATCTTATCTACATTACGTGATATTATTATTTATTATATTAATTATTTATTACTTATTTATTGACATTGTATTTCAACATACACATTTACATAGTACTATGCTGACTAAGTTGACGAGGTACAATATTAGTCTTAGCCATAAACATCATCAATGTCAATAAAGTAGCACTCTGATTAGAGAATATGGATATAAAGGATGCACTTTTGAGAATAACATTCCTTACTAGTTTCAACTAATCAAATAATGCCCAAACCTATTCACTAGTAAATGCCCTATTCAGTTTTTATTTTTATTGTCAATTAATTCACGCTTCCCAAAAATTAATTGATACTATATAATTATAATGTTAAATGGTGATGAGAAAATTACTAATGATATTGTATTGTTTTTAATGTAACCATGTATGAGGTGGATGTCTTAAATGGATTATGTTAAAGGATACCACATGACACATCCTCAAATTGCATTGCATGATTTTACTGTTGGTGTTCCCTAATAATAAAATCTTGATAAGTCATATTAACTTTTCATTATTTGCCTAATATTACTAATACTAATGCTAATACTATGCTAATATTATTATTGTCTGACCAATTATGATTTTTGTGTTTTATCATTCAAAATGGAAAATTTCTATGCAGAAGAGTATCAATATGATGATGGTGACAATAATGGTGGTGTTGTTGATGATAATTTTACATGTGAATGAATAAACATTTCCAATACAAGGTCCAATATTCATTGGCTTCAAGTTCCAATGCTTTAAGTGGTGGTTCCAAAAAACCTTTAAAAAACGAATCGTAACATATGGTTTTGTGTGGAAGTATTTTGAAATGAATTTGTAATTTGCAAATTAAAAAAAAAAAATTTAGTTGACTAAAAATAATCAACTAAATAATCAACTAAAATAGTTGACTAAAATAGTCAACTAAAATAACTAACTAATAGTTGACTAAAGAAATTTTGACCAACTAGTAGTCAACTAAGAATTTTTTGGGGCGATTCCAACCTCTAGGCAATAAAGCTTCTTCTAAGGCTTGATTTTTAAAGCAAATGATAGGAAATTCTTAAGTACATAACCAATGATAATAGGAATTTTTTTTTTACTGACTGTACCAAGGTTTGGGGAATATTTTGCTTACTCAATCAGCCAATAATTATACCTCCAATCATAAACCAAATAAATATTTGCAAATTATCACAGTTTCCAAATCTTCTCCAATAAGTTTCCCTGTCAACTTCCTCTTCTTTAGCTACTTTAAATTTGCTTTCTTCTTCAGGAGTAATTTTTCCTGCACTTTTTTTCACAGTTTTTGCCTGTAGCCTCTCCTCCTTCTGTCAAACCTGCTTTATAAGACTAGTAGTTTGTAGATATTTTCTTGTTACCTTCTCTATCTTTATACTACAGTTTTTGACAAATTAACTAAATACCCCCAATTACGAAAAACCAAATACAGCTAAAATGATTTTCTAGTATAGACATGTCCAAAGTCGTTATAAAAAAAGAATACTGGTTGATATTATAAGAGAGAAAATTTTATATTTTTAAAATTCAAAGTTGAGGTCTTTTATTTGTTCATGAAATATAAGAATTGTATAAAGTTAGCATAATTTGATAAATGATTAATTTATTACTTATTACAATTCTGCCATGACTTCTGTCACTATATGCTTACAAGAATTTATTGCCCTTGATAATGAAAAACCATTTGCTGGATACTAAACAAATCAATGACTACATCCTGTGCAAGTGGGTATGGTGGGTATGGTGGAGTATAGCCTTCATAGATACACTCTAACAATTGTCACAGTACACATCCCTTGAGATGAACAACCATTATATGGTCTTTGACATCTATCAATCTCATGCTAATAGAATAAATTCATAAAATGATATTGTGACTCAATCAAGAAGGACCAAATACACTGATTTTTACTTGTTTGAACTGGTTGATAATTTATTTGCACATGATCTGCTTGAAGGCTTGTATGATGACAAAATTTATAATACTATTGAGGATATAAGGAGTTATTGGGCTGATAAAAAGAAATGGAATTAACTTATAAAATAACACTGAACTGTTAAGCAACACAAAGGGTACCCATTCATATCCGTTGAGTGATTCCATGGCCACAGATTGGGTATGATAATATCCTCTGATCTATTTGGAGCTAACCAGAATGAATTGACTTTCTAGACGATGGTTGGCCAAGGTTACCTTACAAATTCAGATTAATATTCATATTTTTGTATGATGTATTACTAATATGATTAAAAATACATACCTGAGTATCACTTGGGTGAAGAGATGGTATGGGTAAAAAGATGCAGTCGCGTTTACTTCGTCGAAAATTATTTCGTCGACAATCATTTCGTCGACACCCATTTCATTGAAAGTTTGTTTCATCAAAAGTTTGTTTCATTGAAAGTTCATTTCGTCGAAAGTTTGTTTCATCGAATGTTCATTTCGTCAAAAATTTTTTCATCCTCGAGCCAGAGACCGAACGAGTTAGGTGTGAGGAGTGTGGAAAGTTAGTTAAGAAATTAGGTGAGGAAAGCGGAGTGTGTGAAAAGTGTGAGGAGAAATTTGTTTAATGAAGTTTTTTTTTTGTGATGAAATAATTTTCAACGAAATGAACATTCGACGAAGTGAACTTTTGATGAAACAAACTTTCGACAAAGCAAACTTTTGATGAAATGGGTGTCAACGAAATGACTGTCAACGAAATGACTGTCAACGAAATGATTGTTGACGAAATGAATCAGACCCAAACTTCTTGTAAAATTGCGAAATTTAAACAAAACTTTGATATATACTTTCTGGGATTAAAGCTATTGAACAGTTTGCTTTTGATAACAAAGTTTTATTAAAAAGGTAGTGTGAAGTTCAACATATGTTACAATTCTATAAGTAAAGTTATGAATTCTTGTCCTCTACTATATGTTTTTAAATTAAGGAAAACTAATGAACAGTCTTCAAGTTAACCTTAATAATTATTGATTTATAAGATTTATAAGAAAAAAACTGGAATTTTATAAGAAGACAAGGTTGTGCTTATAATATTTAATATATATGTATGTATGTGAATATATATGTATATAGTAATAAATAGAAACGAGGCTATCTTGGCATGAATCATTACTAGCTTTTAACATCAACTACAAACTCTTTATATGAGTAAACAATTTAGTAAGAACGTTTTTTGGAATGGTGATATATTTATGTAGTTATTTCCATTATTTTATATATTTGTAATATATTATTGACTGCTTGTGTAGAGCCATTGACAAGCAAATTTTTGCTTCTGGAAGAATGATATTAGGATCAGATCAAGTTGTTAATTTCTGGGGTGCAAGGCAAGACAGATGACTTTCTAATAATACTGATAGTAGTAGAAATAGTGTTACTACACCAGTTTGAAAAAAGCTTTCCCAACTCCCAGAAGTTGTCAATTCTTTAATTTTTTCTCTTTGATGGATTGTTAGCATTCTTAAAGTAGCTTCTTTAATTATTTCATTAGATGGACATTTATCTCTAGGTAATATATCATTTACTACAAGACCAATGTAAGGCTAATATTATGTATCCCTTAAACGATTTTTAGACCAAATATGGTCTAAATTTACAATTGTGACTCAAAAATTATAAAAAAAGATATTTTCCTGTGGTCTCACCACAATCTTTCTTATTTCATAAATGATATTCAAAACCCCATACTTCTATTAAAAAAATTTATTTGGGGGTTACATATAACAGGTAAGAAAATAATATGTGTAAAATGTAAAAATACCCATTTTTTTATTGTGAAAATTTTCTTGCAGATCACGTTTTTTGATATACAAAGTTTATATCTCCTTCACTAAAATTATTAGCTAGTATGTAAACACTACTAATAGAACTTGTTAGGCAGATCAAATTACATGATTTATGTCTAAGAACCATAGGTCTAGTATCAATAATTAAAATTTTCCATATAGTGAACTTTTCAAAAAAAAATTTTTAAAAAAAATACAAATGTTTCTTTACTTATAAAAAACCTTAAATATAATTCCAATATGTACAATTTTTTTAAAATAAATTTTTCAAAATTTATGTTAATTGAAATGTAAAAATATTCGGGTTTATTAGTAGTATTTTAATTTAAAGAGGGATTGAATTTACTCGGAAGATCTACACAAATTTGGAACCAAAAATTCCTGTACATATTAAAATGAAAACTTGTATTGTAAACTGTATTTTTTTTTTTAAGTAAACTTGTTTATTAAAAATAGTATTTTTACATAGTTTATGGTTTAGACCAAATAATCAATGAGTAAAAACTTTTTCTAATCATAACTATTAAAAAAATTAAAAATCGGTATTTTTTTACAATACACCTTTTTTTCACACTAATTAAACCCTCCCCCAAAATATCAATCAAATAAAATGGTTTATATGCATAAACCATACCTTTTTGTCTATTTAGAAATCAAAAAAAAAAAAAAATGGACCAAATATGGTCTAAATTTTTGTTCGTTTAAGGGATAACGAGGTATTCGGTAACCAAGGTAATTGGTTATCATCACGTGATTATTTTAAAAATAACTCTTTTTTTAATTAATATTAATGATAATAAAATTGTACAACATAATAATAATAATAATATAACTGATATGATGCTTTTGTCATTTAGTAAAATAAGAAGTTAATTTTCCTTGGTTTAAACTTTTAGAATATACAAATTAAGTTCGTTATAATCTAATTCTAAACCATCATTATCTTATTCAAAAAATTTGTGAACAGTTCCGAAAGCAGAAACAGCTTCTTTAATTGGAATATAAGGTAATGTTGGAACATTTTCTTCAATTTCTTCCTCAGTTGGAGTAAGTGATAAGATTATTTACTCATCAGTTACCATTCCAACACTTACATCTGCATTATCTATTGAAATAATTCTGCTGCTGTTAGAGGTAAATTAATTGGTAAATTATTAATTAAATTTGAACAGCATTTTCTTCTTGGAGAATTTTATTTTATTTATTATCATTACAATTGAAACTTTAAAGAGTATCTTGGAAAGAAGCTATAAAATAAAATATGGTGAATGAGCAATTGCAGATGAATGTCTTGTGATAGTAAACAAAAGATCAAAATAAAAAATACAAATGAATATATTCTTTGTAATAAAAAAGGGGGGAAAAAAATTAAAAAAGATTGTAAAAAAGATCATGTAAAAAAGGAATAAATATATTGTAGAAAAGGGAAAATGATATATATGGGGCATACTGCAACAAAACCAGACAAAGTGAACATTGGTATTACCAAGAATTTCAGGGATCAAAATTTA